TTATTATATGAATCGACGGTCAGCAAAGTATCTCTTGATTCAAATCACTTTTCGCATTTTGGCGCGAATAGTAGCGCGTTTTAAGTGGCGCCACTATTCGCGCCAAAATGCGAAAAGTGATTTGAATCAAGAGATACTTTGCTGACCGTCGATTCATATTATAAGCTCTTCAGAAAAAAATTTGAACCGATTCTGTTCTCCGTATAATAAGTCAGTTTTGCGCTAATGCATTTGATGCATGGATAGCAGACATTAATTACCCTCGGTCTGCCTGCACGTGGATATATCGACATATTTATCGATAATACATTAGCTTGGAGTTCAGAGAACATTTTTTAAAGAATTTTTACACCTCATGATATATAGCTATTTTGGGGCTCAACCACTTAAATGTACGTTGTGAACATATACTGATATATCAAAACTTAGTGGCTCTTAGATAGAAAATACAAAAGATCATGTTATTACTTCGTTTTTTATTTTGGTATGGATAAAAACTGTTTTAATCATAAAAACCTGTATTTTCCTGTCTTAAAATCATAAAACTGTCTTTACTACTGTCTACTATAAATAAATCTACTGTTGCTATTGTTCATACCTTGTTGTTCATACTGTTAATTTAGGATACTGAGAGAGTTTTCTTGTCTTACTTAATTAAAGAACCCGGGCTTACGACTAGGCGAAGTCGAGAGAAAAATTAAGTGATTACAATCCAACGAATGTCTTTTCTAGAGAGTTACCAGAATAATAGAGGGCAGCTCAAACCGGACTTTAAATCATGACTATAACACCGTAGCTGTCCTGGGGTCCACGTGAACCCGTACTCTAAAATTCTGCCCTTAAGACATATTGATAAAATTTAGAAAGGTTCTTGTGCATGAACACTATACCAATGATTACAGAAGAAAGTGACTTGAAAGGTTTAATAGTGGCGTAGCGAGAAACAAAACATTGCAAAGTGGGTCCACGTGGACCCCACGATAGCTACGAAGGGTTATCTGAAAAAGCCTTTGACATTGTATTTTATAAAGTTCAGACAAACTCAAATCAACAGCTAAGATTTTTGATGAACTATCAGGAATTAAGTCAACCCTCAAATAGTGCCCATTCATGTTTAAGAGCTACTTAAAGATATTAATAAAGCGATCTTTATAGTCTTTAGACTATTCATAATAGTTATTTGTAAGACTAAGACTAAGACTGTTTCATTTACGAAAAGTGAGTGATTTGTAACAGTCTCACAGTTTATTTGGTTGTAGTAAAGAAATGTTTCGTTATGTATTTATTAACAAGTAATGCGCTTTAAATAAATTCTTGAAATTCTAATGTGAAATGCTGCTTCTGCAGCTAGATCAATAAATAAGTTATTCTTCTAGCTTTTTTAGATTTCTGTTTCTTGTAAGAGAAGGATCTATTATCTGTATATTTTGAGTTTCTTTATTATTTCCGATATGAATTAGCTCTTCGTCTCTTTGTTGTATAAAATATGCAGTCTGTTCATTATAACCATGGATCAATTAAACTTACCCGAGAACGCTCAACGATGGTTAACCGTTGGGATCTACATGAAGTTGCTAAATGGATTGCGGGTTAGTTTTGATTTAAAGTTATATATAGAGAGTAATGGATGTTTGTATTTTAGGTTTAGCTGGAGTTCATCGTGGCACAGACCAAATATTTCTCGAACATAAAATTGATGGACAAGCATTAACGGTATTGACTCGTGATGATCTCATACGAATGGGTATTAAACAGATTGATCAGCAGATGATTTTATTACAATCAGTTGATTTATTATCAACACTGGTTTGTTTAACTTCTATTCCAGTAATATTCGATTAAATATTACTGTTATTTTTTCTCTTTAGGTCAATCGATTGAGTAGCGAAACATTAGCTCTATTATTCATGCGTATACATTGTTCGGCTACAGTATGTTTTAATATGCTGAGAAGACATGATGACATGTCGTCATCGACTAATAAGAACTATGTTGTTATGCATTCACCTGACTTTTATGTTGCAATCACTTTATTATCCGATGCTATTATCAAAGCTTGTCATTGGCTTGGAAGGTAAACAACAATAATTTTTAAACTTAAAAATATAAATACTGCAAAGTATTATTGTTCTTTAGGTTGCCATTTATTGAGACTTCTGACTATATTGAACTACGTCGTCAGATTATCAAATCACTTGTGCAAATACGCCTTTTGTTACGTAATTTGCGTATGGTGGATACAATAAATATGCCCAAAACGAAACTCATTCGTGAAGTATGTATTATTACCAGTTTAATAATAAATTAGTTAAAATGCATTTGTTTAATTTTTCTTCTATAGATTGATGAATTAAGAACGCATGCTACCGGACTTATTCGTCGAAACAAAGATTCACTATTTTCGTCTGATTGTTATTTGACACGCGTTAATTTGAGAAGACCAACTAAAGACGATATGGTAAAAGAGTAAAATATCATTAAATGTTATTAACATGTTTATATATTTTTGTTTAATTTTAGAATATTGAATATACCACGATGCCAGATTATACGCATGTCATATCGAGTATACAAACAGAAGTACGTAGATTATGCTCCTATTCATCATTAGTTCTCTTCTGTTTGTAAATGATAACTACTGAAGTGAGTTTCTTATTAATAAATCACACCATTCATTTTAGTCTATGGGATATATGGGTACCGGTTTTAATGCAATAAACATTGGCGATGAAATAATTGAGATTAATAACCAAGTTGTTGTAAGTACAACGACTGCTTTTCTTTTTATATCAATAAGCAATTTTGAAATTATTTAAAATTATTTTTAGCTTGGGTGGGATGCTGAGCATTTTCTTGAACTTTTACAATCGCAATCAAACGAAATATATTTATTAGTTAAAAAAATGCCGAGACATAATGATGATGAAGTTTATGCAAAAAGAATGACTGAGTGGCCTCTAGGACCCCGCAAAACACGCGCTCGTGGCGTTTTAGAAAGATTAAAACAACAAGAACGAGATCAAAAAATAATGTTACTCGAACAGGAAGGGTATAGTGTTTTTTTATGTTTTTTAAAAAAGATAAATAATTCATAAGATTTTTTCACCTTCATTACAGTGATAAGGAAGAATAGGTAACAGTGACTGTTGTTAAAAATGTCGTTCTTGTTTTGTTTCATGTATATATGGTTTCTTGAAATATGTATGTTTGTGTAGTCTTACTCTCAAACTCTGTACCTTTCGGCGAGAATAAAGTTACAGAATTGTTCTATGTGCATAGTAAATGTAAAATTTGTTCTCGTATCGTATTGTAATGTGTTATTTACTGTAAAATGGAGTACTTTCTTTCTTTATTTTATAATTGTCTAAATTATTATTTGTTTTAAGAGAGATTGAAGTTGAAAGTGATGATGAAACACTATATCATAGTAAACGATCGTCACAATGTAAACGTGATGCACATTTATCGTTGCCAGACTTAACGGAAACAGATGGTGTTGAAAATATTGAATCTTCTGTATCTACGGTAGTCACAACAACGACAAGCAATGGTTTTAAATCACCATTGGACTTACGGCAAAAGAAAGATGAATCTCAACGTCAATCTTCAAGTAATTCATCGCCAAATTCAACTCCGAAAAGTCAAAAAAAAGCGGTTCGTATACGAATAAAAGAAATCTTTCTTTTTCTTGATTGTTCAGTATAGTTGTGACATTATGTGCATAGTATTTTATGCATTTATTTCAGAGTTTCGAAGGCTATATTTCAACGTTATTTCGTCCAAAACAAGATGCTAAAAATGTTTTGCCCGGAATGGATGATTACTCAAAAGATCATCCTCAGTTAGTCAATGTTAAACGCATTTATTCCATGTATAACGGTATTTCTCCAGAAGATGGACTTCCTTCATCGTCATCCACATCATCACTGCAAGAAAATAAGATGAACGAAAATGCCAAATCGATTCAGAAAAATCGATTCATAAATAAAAGTAATAGTCAATCAAATTTACCATCAACAAATACAATAAATAATAATAATAATCAAAATAGTTCACCGAGATCTTCGTTATCAAATATATTCAAAGTAAGAAGAACAACAGTATGAATTTCGAGAACATCAATTTCATTTCGATTTTTTGTTTTAGAATGAACAATCAGGAAAATTTCGAATTAAACATCCACATAATGATAATGAGAACGGAAAAACGTATGTTTGTGTATGACAATAGAAGATATTTCTATTATACTCTAATATTTCTTCTCATTAGGTTTCAAAACGACTCAAAACATGAAAACGGCTCAGTTTTGAACAATGGAATTGTTACTAATAAACCTCCCCTTGTTCACAGTGAAAGTCGTAAAGTATGTAACTAGAAACCTTCTTAAGAGCTCTATTTCTTTTTATTCCAACTTATTGACAAACGTAGGGTAAAAGTTGGATTGAGCCGAAATTTTTATTGATGATAGAACATTGAAAGTGGAAATCGGAGAAGTCGATGAGGTGCTCTTCTATGGATGTTTTCGAAAACTCCGGCTTTCATTGAAATACATTACTACTTCTCTGAAAACGTCATCCGGTCAAAAATTTAACCTCAGATACATGGGACAATATTGTATTGTAAATTGTAATTTTCTTTTGATTTTTACTTTGCGAGTTATAGATTTTTCATAATCAAAAACTAGGTTTTTAGCACTTTTTATATATTCAGAAGGAAAAATTAAAAATTAAAAGAAAACTACAATTCTGAGATATTGTCCCATGTATCTGTGGTTAAATTTTTGACCGGATGAAGTTTTCAGAGAAGTAGTAATGTATTGCAATGAAAGTCAGAGTTTTCGAAAAAATCCATCAGTAGTGAACATTTCGGCTTAGTCTAACCTTTACCTTATGTTTGTCGACCAGGTTTAAAAGGCGGAAGGAGAGTAGTCTTAAGAATGCAATGCGTCTAATATAGTATTTTTTTTCAGAATTCCAGTTCATTTGAATCCCGTCGTCCCAAACGCATGCGTAAGTAATTGACATCCAATTTAACTTTCAAATAAGAAACCATTTTATCTGTTATACCTTGAACTACTTTGCTGGTCTTTTGCTTTAGCGGCGTTCTGGCAGCCGTTTGATTGGTAGAGTAAGAGAAACAGGTAACTAGGGGCATAAAAGAAAATTGCACTAAAAAATAAAGTGTGGAAAATCCTGTGGGAAAACGACCCAAAAGTGTGTGGGAAGCGAATGTAGAAATTCCACACTTTATTTTTTACAATGTAGAGAACGCAGTATAAATCCTACACCATTTTTTCTTATAATTTCTTTCTGGGAAGTTTGTTTTTATTTTGCATACGGGGAGTTTTTTGTTTTTTTATATTGCTTTAGAATTAATTCAACTTTGCCACAGAAAGATATATATATGAGAGAAACATAACTTTCTGGTACAATCGATAAAAAAAAATGAAAGTGTTCATAAAAAAATTTGAATGGTACGTTTTGTTTCCCTGTCTTTGCCGAGTATCCTATAAAAATTTCCCAACTGCCAGACTCATACTGGCTGAGTTAGGAGGGAGACAATTTTCAGTTTTTGCCATAGAGAATTTTTGGCAGGATTTTGCTAGAAAAAGGGTTGAAATAGATGTATTCTACATCGTTCGACAGAGAAT